CTGGGGAAAGGCTGTCCCACTGCTCCTCTCCACGAAGTCCTGCTGGGGAGCTAGGCATTCCTGGCAGCCCTTGTGTGGGGCTCGGAAAGGAAAAGCCAGACTGGGGACTCCCTTGAGCCCATGCTCTCCTCTACACCTGCACACTGGTCAGCCTGCTTGTCCCAGCTGGGAGAAGCTGTAAGCTTACTTGCATACGACACTATTAAATCAACACTTTGGCATATCACAGGAGCCCAGAACAAGATAAGATGGAAAACAAGTGCTCTTCACAAACCAAGTGGCATAGCTCCTGAGACCAGCCAGAAGGATGCAATGAGCAGCACATATTTAATTTTACTGTTTCTGACAACGCATCCAGGCTAAACAAGCACACAATTATATGGGCTGAAATGTTCTACAGGACAAATATGCATTTCACTGACAATCATTAAATGATTTTTAAAATACTGACATGATGATCTTAAAGGTCTTTTCCAACCTGAACAATTCTATGATTCTATGATGGTTCACAGAAAATAGGGCGTTTTTTAAAATTTGCTGTATTTTGGGTTATGTTTCAGCCTATGCAGAATTCAAGCAGTACACCCAATTCTCTTCACCTACATACATGCCTTCCCTTTAATGAACTTCACTCAGCTGCTGCTCTGTATCACCGTGAGCCTCCTCCATCAAATCACAATCGCTTTAATGAGAAAGCAATAGCTCTAGGACTACATATCTGACAAACAGATCCTTAAAATATGTTTCACTCTTTTGTCCAAGACAACAAAAGAACACAAGGAATTCATAGGGTATGAAACCTGAAAAACTCAAGCATAGCATATATGGTGGTCATCTGAAAGATGCGGTTGTTCATAGAAAGAAAAATAAAATAAAGTAAAAACCATCCTAAAATACAAAAGGGCATGATTCATTATGTGATTACATAAGACAGCAGTGCCATAATGCTGTTTAAGTCATCTACAGTAGCATGACACTGGTGTAAGAAGGGATGAATCAAGCCCTGTGTTTTCACTTTAAAAGGATGCTCAAGCAGCATATAGCATGAAGAGCTACGGCTTCAAATAGCTCCTGACAAGGTCCCTCCAAATAAAATCGCAAGGAGGGGTTCAGCTTGGGAGACGCAGTCACACAACTCCCATCGACTTTGGTAGGAAACTGGCTACACAAAAAAAAACATTTCAAATGTGGTGTGCTTCTATGCTATGAAGATGCATTTTCCAGCCGGTGCGGAGAGGAGGCACGCAGTGCTCAGTGTGTGTTGGGGCGAGCAGCGGCAGCACGGCAGGCTGTGGGGAGGACCAGGGTCGCTCCCCTTCCCAGCCATCCAGGACTTTTAATGCACTTCCACAACAAATATAGATAATTATATATTTATTTTAACATAATATCTTTATTTTTGTTTAGCTGAGTTGCTGCCTTGTCCCCGAGGAGCTTTTATGATTACATTAAAGATCTTATTTTTGCTCTAACTGACAGACGCCACAAACTATCTATAAACCCTGGCAGCCAACTACAGATATCTCTTCTCTGCAGATTTATTATACATCACTGATCCCCTCATGGAGCAAATTCACCTCATTCTTGAGTGCAGTCACTGGATCAGAAGCAAACCACACTGCAGATTACCTTTGAGGTCAGATACCTGAATCTCTGTCCTGGCAGACTACTAAGGAGGAAGAGGCAAGGTCAAGGCCAGAGCTCAACAAATTAGCAAACTAGATCCACAGATATTCTCCGTCTGCCAACAACTGTAATGGATTGTGGCTAGGACATACTTTCTACATACGCAGGACACTCAGAATCAACTAAGTCAATTCTGTTGCTGCACAGCCCAAACCTAAAAAATACACCACAAGGAACGAGACATAAGAATTCACCGCAGTCACTAAAAGGAAAACGAACTGTGATTTAATATTGCAATTTAGTCCAAGATACATGGAAATGCGACACCTGGTGCGTTAGCCCTAATGTCTGTGCTTTCCTGTGCGAGTGTGGTGAAGCACTTAGCTGAGCCTCCATTTATCCTCCCGTAAGCCAGATGTCTTATTTACCTATTTACCAGTGGGGTAATTGCCGTGGACCTAACAGCCTCTTTATCAGGCGCGGTGTTTTAGAAGTGTTTCAGGCTAAAAGGCGCTATCAGGTGCAAGGCACAGACAGTAGTACGCGGTGAGGGACAGGGATGGCACATTAGCAGGGTGTTTTTCAAACCTTTTACCAAATGAATCTATAACCTTCGGCAATGCAATCCGAACGAAAGGGCTCTGCACAGACACAAGCTAGAGTCGCAATAAAACCGAAAGCAAGTGATCATGGCATAGACCGCAATATTCTCTCTCCCTATTACATTGCATCATCAATGCTAATTTCATTTCTCTCTGGAAATGGTACAACTATCTGTTATAGTTATCTACAATTTAAGTACATTTCTATTTTTCCTTATATTCTTGCTTCAGGAATTTGACAGTGTTTTGTGGGGCTTTTGCTCCTGATCAATCCCATGTTGCCATCTGTCTGCTCCTGACAAATCCCATTCAGGAACACATCCCTGTAAGGGCTTGGAAACCCTCAGGATGTGTAGACGGATGTCATTTACTTGAGCTGATCTGTTCCCCGGACTCCCTGTTGGCATCCCTCGAACAGGTGAGTGTTCATCTGGTATAAATCAGCTGAGCTCTCTTGGGACTCATTTACATCCACCAAGAATCCAACCCAAAATATACAACTAATTTCCCATGTTTCAGACTGTCCGTCTGTATCCCTTGCTGAAAGGACCATTATCAGCAAAAGAAATGCTAGAAACACTTAAAAAATGGTGCTGCAAATCTGGCAACCTTTTTGCATAGCAAGTGAAGTAGGGGCAGATGCTCCTCACCAGCCCTTGTCCATTCCCTGGGCACGCTGAGAGAGACATGAGCTAGGTTTTGCCTGACAAGACAGCTTCTTGCAATTATTTTAAAGGACAAAACAACCAAACCAGAAGGCACCAGGTGATAAACCCAAGATTACTGAGAACCTGGGCAGAAACTTTCTTTAGAAAAGTAGATCAATATTAAATGGAGACCCGTCTTTGTGAAGAGTATTTAAAAATATGAATTTGGGACACAACAACATGACAAAAGTCTGTTTAGGGCCTTGCCAAACCCATCAGGTTCAAGAATAAAAGAATAAATGTAAAAAAATATAGCTGCCTAATAAAGAAACAAAAATGACGATTGTTACAAAGGGAAAAACAGAAGGATGTCACCAGTTAATTTTGCAATGGCATAAACTATTAAATTCACAGATACTAAAGGATTCAAGGAAAACACTATTCGTGGCAACATAAGACCACATGAAGAACTACACCTAATCAGCACAAATACCAAAAATTACAACCAAAGCGAATCTCTGCGCTCTGCCCAAGATGCTTAGATACCTATGAAACTAAAAGCTGGACTTAATAAAAATAAGGATTATATTCTGCCACTCCTCCTCACGTCGAGGAATACTAGAAGTGATACTTCATTCTCTCAGTGGTCCCTTTGACTTCAGGGTTATGTCTCACAATGAGAAATTACTGCTCCGTTGTAGGTTAACGGTGGCAGAATCTGTCACCATCCTATTTTCTGCATCTTTGCAAAAATATATCTTCCAGAACGTATGCAACGGAAGAACTGACCTACTCAAACTGAGCACGTTTGCTGTGCACAGTGATGGAATTTGGCTTTATGTACAAACTGCTCTATCCCACCCTGAGACGCGACTCGCGGTAACGCTCCCTGAGGCAGAACTGAGCCCGCAGAAGCCGGCACGGCACAGTGCTCTCTCGGCGAGTGGGCAGCCAGAAAGGAGTGAGGATGCTAATGTAAATGAAAACGCACAGTGCAGTCAAAGGTACATTTGCAGTGCAAATGTAAATGACACTGTGCAGTCATAGGACCATGACTACACGGGATTAAGGGGACTTTGCACGATCTGGCTGTGTGGCTCCAGCCCTGCGAACGGATCTGTGGATTAACCGCACTAAGCAAACAGCCAGAGCAAAAGGAAAAGCGGAGTTCGATGCTGTTCACTGAAATTTTACTTTGTCCCACAGCACAGACAGTTCTAATTTGCTTTTGCTCTGGCAGATACAAGAGAAAAAATATGCAAAGCTGTCCCTCATCCCAGCTGTCAGGATTGCAAAACAAATGAGAGATTTGAGTAAGTTTACTTAATTGTTGTCAGTATTAAAGGCACCTTAAGGGAATCATTCTTAGAAGAGAATAATTTGTAGCAGATAATAAATTACATTTTCCTCTATTTTCCTCCTTGGGAAAAATCTATTAAGACTTTATAATTAAAACTCCTGAACATAGTTCAACTAAATGTTTTTAATTTAAAAGTTGTCTATTTTTAAAAATGTCCTTTTTTTTCATAAAAACACTGTTTGCTCTCTTGAGAAATGCCACTGAAAATTATTAACTGACATTCTTCATCAAAACTGCTAAATGAAACATTTCTTTTCTCACTCAGCAACTGAAAGGCATAAGATTTTGGCACCTAATTCCATTTCTATTTGAAAATCCTGGCCAAACAAAAAAATTACTTTCTCAAATCCCTTTTAATAACAGTAATAAGAGATTATATGGGAAGATATAAAACGTGTTCAGGCATGCGTGTGATTCACAAAGTTGTCCCTTTCCCTTGTGCTCCACGCTGATTAGCACAAGCAGTCCACAGCAACCAAGAGATAGCATCCTTTCTGTTTGGGGCTTTGGTTGTGTTTTTTTTATTTATTTCACACTTTGGGATCAAAGTTTTCATCAAAGGCACTGCAGTTGGATTCTGTACATCCATATATATTCATAACGGAAACAGCAATAAGCTAAAACCGGAATATCACCACTATACTGAACTTGCTGGCAAATCCCACCTCTGTAGGTTATAAGCAGATTCCTTAGAACAGTAAATTATTCATTTACTAAGTTCTTACCATAATTTCAGTGAGAATAAAATTAAAAACGTTTACTTACTGATGTATATAGGTATCCTTCACTGTTCATTGCCAGATATAATTTTGTTTGAACCCCCTGAATCGCCACCACTCGTAAACCCACAGGTATGAGGTTAAACAAAGCTAGGAGAGAAAGGAGATAGAGAGCAAAATTAATCCTTTAGAGTATGCAGCTTAGACAGAGAATTAAACCATAATTATCAGAACCAAATAAAAAAATGCCCATTCATGCATACATTAATTGCTGCAGGTGCCATAGAACAATACTGCTACTATCATGGTAATCACTAATAGCTCAGAAATTATCTACAGAGGATATCAACGTATCTCCCCCATTCTGAAGATGAAGAATTGGAGGTACTGAGAGCTAAAATGACTTACCTGCCTCATGAGCAGAATCCAGGGTCTGCTGAGTAGGGTTGAACATACTGATTTTTTTTTTTTTTTTCTTGACAACAAGCGGGGAAGAAAAAAGATAATCCAAAAACAAAAAAAAAGTTTTCAAGACGAACAAAACTTTTTTTTTTTTTGCAAATTCAGATCAAATGCAGTAAATATTTTTGACCAAAAGGAAGGAGCAAGATGAAATTCAGCAAAGTTAAAAAACTTCATTAACATCTCAAAATGTTTCCACTCAAAACTCATCGTGTTTTCTTCTCTTTTTGAGAGGAGAATGAATTTGAAAAAAGAGAGTTAAATAACTTCAAAATGAAATGAAATGACAGCATATTCATTAGATCAAGCCCTAAATCTGTTCTTTCAAAATTGAGCTGCTTCGAATGTTCTGCTTGCGTTTATGCTTCTATACATGCTAATAGTGGCAGTATTTATAAGCAGAGAAACATCTCTTCAAAAAAATGAAGATTCCGGTTTGTAAACTAGCAAATAAAATTTAAAAAAAAAGCAAAGCTCTGCCATAGCTTAGATTCATGGACACCTTAAAATTGAACACAAGTAATAATGAGTTGAATACAGTACTTTGTGTTCAATACATAGGATTAAAAATAATAGGGAGTTAAGAAAGTTTTCAAGAACTGTTATCATAACCCAAAGCATCTCCTTCCAGTTTGTTGTATAAATGCAGAGACAGGATGAAGTAATGCTAAACTAGCTCTTATTTCCAATAGTTTATTACTTGGCTGTAAAACTCTGGTCTGCTTCAGGCTGAAGTTTGGTATTTATGGTCACCATCTGAAGCCAATTTAAAATAGAATTATGAATTTGAAATATTTTTATTATTTTCAAAAGTATAAGCTAAGAATTATGACCCATTATACATTCCTTTTTCAGCCTGACAACCCCCAAATGGTCATATTTAATTAAAAGAAAAATTGCATCTTGCCAGCATTTAGTACAGATCCTAAATTCTGGGTGCAGGGTTGTCAAGAGTGTATCAAAAAAGGAAAGAGCAAACGTATGCGTGTCCTACTTCGATAAAGGTATAGCCAGAAGTTAACGCTGTGCGTTGGAGATGAAGGACTAAATTCTGGTAAAAACAGACTCTATTCCAGCAGGCAGCTGGACCTCCAGCTCTGTGTGCTTTCCTGGGTTAACCTCCGCATCTCAGCCCCGTGGCTCGGTGAAGAGGGGGTGCAAGAGGCTCTGGGGGGGCCGGCAGCCGAGGGACACGCTCAGGGCTGAGCTGAGCCTGCCCGGCTGTGCTGGCATACTACGAACTACGGGTGCTCTGCTCTGAGGTTGGGGCACCTTTGAGCATTGAATTTCCGACAAAAGACAAATACAGCAGAGCAGGTAAAAATACCCAGAACCAACAGATAAATGTAGGAGACCGTAAAATCATACCTTATGTTTTCCCTTCCCTCTCAAACACGTGAGTATGCATGCAGACACAAACACACACACACATGCAGCCCCTCCTCACGTTCGCTTGCAAGCACAAAATCAGCAGAGATGGCTTTCTCTTCACTAAAACAAAATCCTCTAGTTCTGTGCAGTTTTTGGCAAATAAAACTTAGATTTTCAGCAAGGGAAACGCTTAGGGAAATAGATTTCTCATTCGTGCTATCAAATGCTTGAATTTATTTGTGGGAGAAAATATTCCCTGCCTGACTCAGTAAATATTGCCTTGGAGAGCCCTCTTTTGCAGTTCAACCCCAAAAAGCAGTATCTGATCTCCATGTAGGCAGGAGAGCACAATTTAAAGCTCAGTATCCAGGCAGAACCTGGAGGTCTCTTTTGAAAGGCACTTTCTTAATGGCATATTTACGAGTAGGGCAAGCATTTAGGTATTTTCAGCACAAGGGTATATGAGTATGGGCTCCATGGTAAATAGTGCTATGAGCCTGTCGGCAGACCAGCTGAGGACAGGCCAAAGCCTGGGACAGTCGAGAAGATACAGCTCACAGCCACGAGCCACGGAGATGGGTTTTAGTGAGCGATTCCTGGCTGTGCCGTGCTTGGCAAAGTGAGCAGAGATACGAGACTGAGCGACTTCTGCCAGGGAAGGGCTGGGGCACCCACTGTGATGGGTGCTCAGCTGCTTCCCTCAGCAGCTGAACATGTTTTCCTGCCATAAATGTACATGCTCTATTTTGAGGCAAGACGAGGGCTGGGCACACTCAGAAGCTGGTTTAGACATGGGTGGGATTAGCAGCTGCTGTGGCACAGACTATCGGAAGCTGTGAAAGGGCTGTGGGGGAGTAATGCTGCCTCTGCTGAAGGGGAGAGGGACTGGCTGTTAGAGGGGTGCACAGTCAGTCTGTCCTATGCCAGCACAGCCAGACACACAGCCAGGCTGCCCCAGCTGCTGCCTCCAAGGCAAGGGGACTTTGGCGCTGCACCAAAAAGGGGACTGCCCCCTTTAGCAGCAGCCGTTGCTCCCACCGTCCTTGCACAGCAGCAACTCCAAGTCCAGCTTCTGTAACAGTGAGTGGCCTGTCTGCAATCAGCGAAAGCTGATGGGGCCAACAGCAGAGCCACGCAGCCCCCTTCTCGGCAAGCCCCCGATGCCACGGACAACGGGTTTGAGATCCTATCGCATTTTTAGCGGCTGACCCTCATGTGGGCAGATACAGCAGAAAGGGTGAAAAAAAAGCTACAGGAAAATAAATTGTTTGCTACTACAATCAGTTTGTGTTAGCATAAGATAATGCAAAGTTATTTGCATCCTAGTCTTTCTCTAT